CATTTTCGAAACAGTGTAGAAGAATTTTGGCAAAACTTAGGGTTTAAGTTCAACCCAGGAGACCCCGAGAGGGAAGGGAGAAGCACAAAATTTTGTTGAATTCAAGCAATGAACCCGCTAACCCTAGTGAAACGAATTCAGAACATCAATTCCAGAGAAGCCCAATTAGGGATTTCAGAGGAAGCTTCATGGCACGCCAAGTACAAAGACTCCGCTTACGTCTACGTCGGCGGCGTTCCTTTTGATCTCACCGAAGGTGATCTTCTCGCTGTTTTCGCACAGTAAGCTCCTATTACCATACAATTAATTTGAATTTGGGATATACATATATACAATTTCTTCTTCAATTTTTAATCTTGTTTGATATTTTATTCGATTTCAGATATGGAGAGGTCGTCGACGTGAACCTGGTTCGCGATAAAGGGACTGGGAAATCCAAAGGGTTCTCATTTATTGCATATGAGGACCAGAGAAGTACGGTTCTTGCTGTGGATAATCTGAATGGAGCTCAAATTTTGGGTCGAACAATTAGGGTGGATCATGTGACTAAATACAAGAAGAAGGAAGAGGAAGATGAAGAGGAAGAGCAGAGGAAGAGGGAGGAACGAGGTGTGTGCCGTGCTTTCCAGAGAGGTGAATGTACTCGCGGAGCTGGGTGCAGATTTTCTCACAATGAACAAGTGAGGTCTCCATTATCTGATTGGTTTTAGTTTTCTGTGAACTGCACGTTAATTTTTGCAATGTTTCTTCATATTTGGGTTCCGATGATTGAGAAATTTATTGTGTATGAGTAATAATGGAGCTTGATTGCTGCTTATTGCAATATAATTGAGTATGGATTCTTTTTGGGAGGTGTGGTTGCGGGGGGATTTTGATTTTGTTTCCAGTATGTTAATTTAGTATGTTTCTGATTTCTGTTTTTGTTTTTAACATGCTTGAAGTTGGGTGAGTTTATGCAGAGAATCATTTGTGTTTTGTCCGTTCTATATAAACTAAAATTTTATCTACATATTTTGGTGCTCATGTGTGCTTTGTTCTATTTGTATCCAGAGAGCTGCAAACACAGGTTGGGGTGATCAAGACTCGAAATGGGGGCGTGACAGGTATGATGGCCCAAAACAGGGTGAGAAAAGATCTAACACTACTCCATCAAATCGTGTTCCAGAGGCTGAAGTTCAAGAAGATTTACACTCCAGAGGAAAGGGATACGGGAGGGCCTTCGAAAGTCACCCTAAGCAAAGTGATGGGAGGGAGGAAAAGAGATTGGGAAGACGTGAGGATGATGAAAGGTTTGAGCTTAGATCAAGAGATCATGGTAGGGGGGAAGAAAAGAGACCAAGAAGACGCAGTGAGGATGACGAATTGGGGCAAAATTCAAGAGAAGATTATGGTAGGAGGGAAAAACAGAGATTAGGAAGGCAAAATGGTCATGAATTGCAGCCAAAGCCAAGAGAAGATCATGACAGAAGGGAAGATAAGAGACCCAGAAGTCAAGGTGGTGATGTTGAATTTGAGCCAAAGCTGAAGTCTAGAGACAATCATGATCAGAGGGAAGATGATAGAAGGGAAGATAGGAGAACAAGAAGGCGTAGTGATGATGGTGAATTTGAGCCAAAATCTAGAGAAGATCGTGATAGGAGGGTAGATGATAGTAGGGAAGATAAGAGACTGAGAAGGCATGCTGGTGATGATGAATTTGATCCAAAATCTAAGGATCATGATAGGACAGAAGAAAAGAGAAGGGACGCTGATGATGAATATCAGCTGAAGTCAAGAGAAGATAGGTGGGAAGAACAGAGGTCAAGAAGACGCAAGGTTGATGAATTTGAGCTGAAGTCAAAAGCAGGCGAGGATAAGAGGAAAGGAGAGAGACTGAGAAGGTATGAAGATGATGAGTTTCAGCCAAAATCCAGAGAAGTTCGTCATAGAGAGTAAAAAGGGAGTTAATGGTGTGAAGCAAATACAGATTCGCTTTGCAATTTTTATGTCTATTTCGTGCAATAACATTGTTCCTGTTGTATTTTCTAACTTTATTTTCATGGAGATAGTTTAACATGCTTTGACCATCAATGCTTGTGCAGCTGGGCATAAAATACCAGATTTAGTTGTTTTTTCTATCTTTTGTTGTTGTGGTCCTCTTGTGTTTCTCTTGGGTGAGGTTTAGAGTTGATATATGCCTTGGACCAGCAAATAGTTATGCAACTTTGCATAAAATCATTTATTGATTCCCTGTTTCTCCTTGTTGAAATCCATTTAAATAGAAAGTTGTATCTTGGGACTCGAGTTTGATGATCATGGTGGTGAATGGATTTGGTTGGTTCCAACTTTTTACAGAAAAAAATTGTAGTTTAATTTTGGGCTGAAATTTGCAGGTGAAACCATGGTTAACAAGGCAAGGCTTTGAACCACGATGTAAGAAGAATTGACCAGATGGATGGGACATTACGGGTAATAATAATGTTTGCATCTATGGAAATGCACTCTCAGCATTTCTGTCCAAGACGGAGGCCTATTTTGGCCTATGCATGGGGTTAATTTCTTTTGTTCAGAAATAAATTTTTGGGAGCATTTTAAGAAGAGCAAGGATCGAGTCTTCGTGATGCAATTAATTGTTGGGGCTGAATCTATTTAAGTTGGTCTTTTCCACAGAAGAATTTTAGCATTGAAACATAACCCGGACTAAAACAAAAACATAAAAATATCAGTTGTCTTTTCCAAATGCAACAAAATCTGTAGAATTGTAATCAACAAGTAGGCTGTTATATATAGGTAAAAACAAAATACCTGCTCGAGGTGAGCGAAAGCATACTCAAACAAAGAGGCTAACAACCAAATGCTGAAAGCCATATTTACAGTTTCATAGCCGGTTTCTGATCTCCAGTCCCCAAATGAGGCAGAAACAAAGTTGTAAGCAAAAACAGGTAAAGAAAAGAGTGACTTGATTCATTGAGGACTGTGTTCCTCTGTTGAATCAATCCGAATTGTACCCATCACTAGTGATGGATTTTCCGAGTTCTTTGGGTAGTGCTTCTTCAGAAGACATCAATCTTCCAATTTCTTTCAGAAGTGCTTCTTTAGAAGTCATTGATTTTCCAAGTTCGTTTGGAAGTGCTTCTTCAGAAGAAATGGATATTCCGAGTTCTTCTGGAAGTGCTTCTTCAAAAGACATGGTTCTTCCGAGTTCTTTTGGAAGTGCTTCTTGAGCAGACATTGATATTCCAAGTTCTTTTCGAAGTGCTTCCTTAGAAGCCATCAAATTTTCGAGTTCTTTGGGTAGTGTTTCTTCAGAAGATATTGGTTTTCCAAGTTCTTTGGGTACCGTTTCTTTGTAAGGCACCCCTTGTATTGGAGTTAAACTAGGCACCAGAATATTGCCTCCTTCATAAGTGGGCAAGGTCTCTTCATCTTCCACATTTTCCGGAATCTTGCTTGTTACTGTTGACGGGGTTATCTGCCCTATAGATTCCTCTTTCATGACGTAGTTACCATCATCTGAAACACGTACTTCCTTTCTTATACCAAGCAAAGTTCCATCTGCTGATTTGATAGCCTTCTCTTCAAGAACAAACTCATTGTTGCTGCTAAATGTTGGCTTGTCATCTGCAGAGGCAATCTTGTCTGAAACTTTTGCACCCTTGTTCACATTCAGCATAGATTCTTCTCCTGGAAGAGTCACATTCCCAGGAACAATTGGTCCCAAGCCGGGGTTTACAAGTAGAGCCTCATTTTGATTCGTAATTTGCAGTTCACTAATTTTCTGAAGTTCAGAATCTTTCCAGTCTTCAGCAATGGCTATATTGTTCTTGGTGTTCCAGGTATGAAGAATTCGGTCTGGACCGGGTTGCCACGATAGATCTCCTGTGCTTTTTTTCAGTATAAACTTGTATTGGACTGCTATGCCAACTGGCATATCCTAATCAAATTAAAAAAAAAAAAAACCAATCAAAATTGTTAAGAAAATAAGATATGAACAAAACAAGGATCAAATCCTTTAGAAGTTCTTACCAGCTCAACAGTCCAAATGTTTCCATCTGACCAGTTCAGAGGTATAGCACTTGCAGGGTTCCACTCTCCCATGATAGGTTCATTTCCCACCAGGAGGAAACTCTCACCAAAGTTGCACTCCTTGTGCAATTGGAATTGAACATGAACAGTTTCTGATGTCTCTGAGAAGCAGAGAGTAATTGTCACTTGATATGGGAAAGTAGGGAACTCATTGTTTAACATGCTGAACAACAAAAGAAGATTGAATACAGTAAACTTACCTGTTGTTTGGATCCCAATTCCTGCTGTCTCCGACGTCGTTAAAACCTGCTAGTGAATTTTACGGGACGAAATTGAATTAGATGATCAATTTTGGATTGAAACAAACCAGCTACAGTTTGAAAAACTCAAACATAAACAAACCACCTCTGTTTGAGAAGGAGCAACCAATTGAAGAGCTTTGTGTCGAAGCAGATGAACATGTACATTGGAGTTCAAAGACCTTAGAAAGCAAATGTCAGATCGACCCAGAAGAGATTTTAAGGGAGGCAGAGTTTTGTTAATAATATTAGCCTTTGGAAACAAGGTTGTAGAAGATCTTACAAAGGCTTCCATTGGCTCTGTTTTTTCAGAAAGAGAGACAGAGTCCTAAAACATGTTAGAAATGAAGTAGTTGTATATATAAGAGGTTATACGCATGAAAAATGAGAAGGGTACGGATCTGACATCAGGTGGGATTCTAACACGTGGCAGAATGAGGTTGGATTTGCTAGTTTTATACTCTGTTCTTGTGCATAGAAAGAGTTTTGATGCGCTCAACTGAATGAGAAATTAGCGACCTTTCCTTGTGCGGTTTTTCAGTTTTGCCTTCATACTATTGTTTGAAGTCTTCAACCCAACTTGACCCAAAAAGAATTCTTCAACTCATTTGCAAGAAAGAAAAGCCTGTTTCTGAAATCAGCGTATATGAAGCATGGAAAAAGAGGAGTAATAATAAACTGAAGCTAAACAGAATATAAGTTTAAAACGTTGTTACTTCTCTTCCAACTTCCATTATCGGCATGTTTGTACAACAGAGAAGAGGGCAACTTTAATGGCACTTCTCTTCTAATTTCTGTGATTGTACGACATGTTGCTATATAGAGGAGAGGGACAACAAAATGGATAATTTCATATCATCCTGTAGGGTTTGAGGTTTATGGTCTAGCAAAAACCTTGTATTTTCACCAATAATCATTACATGAGCAGTGCCCGTCTCTAAAATGATGAAACCGATATCGATCTCTCAGCAATATCTCCCTATCATAAAGCTTAGATATAAGCTTAGCAACTGAGTGGCAGTCTCCGCAAACACGAAGATTCTTCACAACATGAATTGGTTGAGATGGACTCAAGCTAATAAGCCCAAAGGCAATGGCTAATTTCTCACTGTGAAGGATTAGGGCATGGTCCTTCATGTCTTCTTCCTCAACAAATTGCAGCAGATGTGATTTGTTTGGCACATATCCGTTTGACTTCAATCTCAGTGCCATCTCATCCAACTTTGAGTAGATTTCCTTGCATAGAGGGTGAGAATTATCGCCAACAAGAAATTCATGAACGCTACCATTGACTTCGATTGAGCTACAACCTGGTTCTTTCTTTATTCCTGCATCTCGCATATGCTTCCTTAACCCAGAAACTTCATCCCATTTCCCTGTTTTGGCATAGATATTTGATAAGAGTACATAGGCTCCGTGGTTTCTGGGATCCAACTCAAGCAAATGACTACAAGCTTTTTCAGCAAGCACAACATTCCCATGAAGTTTACAGGCCCCAAGAAGAGCCCCCCATACAGAAGCAGTAGGAGGTATTGGCATTTTTTCTATCAGCTCTACAGCTTCGTCCAGATTTCCAGAACGACCAAGAATATCGACCATGCAAGCATAGTGCTTTATTCCAGGCACAACCCCGTAAACTGGCTCCATTTGATAGAAAAATGTTCTTCCCTCGTCCACCAAACCTGTGTGGCTACAAGCGCATAATACATTGGTAAATGTCACAGCATTGGGCTTCACCTTAGCTTCTAGCATTTTTGAGAAAAACTCCAATGCATCTCTCCCTTGCCCATGCATCGCCAAACCAGCAATCATAGCACTCCAGACGAATACATCTCTCCTCTCTACCGAATTAAATACCTCAAGTGCCTTATCTAGATCCCCACACTTTGCATACATATCAATAAGCGAGGTTGTGAGGTGACAATTCAACTTCATCACCTGCTTCTTTATGTAAACATGTATCCACCCACCAAGATCAATTGCTCCTAATTGAGCACAAGCTGCTAGAGTACTAACCAGTGTGACTTCATCAGGTTTTGGACTCTTGCTTTTCTGCAACTCATTAAAAACAGCCAAAGCCTCCTTTGGCTTACCACTTTGTTCATAAGAAGAAATGAGCACATTCCAAGCAGCAATGTCTTGACTAGGCATTGCGGCAAATACCCGCCAAGCCTCCTCATAATTCCCCAACTGAGCATACCCATCAAGCATAGTGGTCCACGAAACAATATCCTTCTCTGGCATCCTATCAAACAATCTTTTTGCATCTTCAACGCTCCCACATTTCACGTACATATCAAGCATAGCATTGTTCAAAGTCAAGTTCTCTTTAATTTCATTCCTTTGAATATGTGAACAAACCCACCTCCCAAACTCCAAATCCACCTTCTTTGCACAAGCCGACAACACGCTTACCATCGTTACATCATTGGGCTTCACATTCTCCGCCTCCATTTCCTTAAACAACTCCAATGCCTCCTGGGGGCAATTCCCCTGCGCAAAAACTGTGATCATAGAGTTCCAAGAAACAACATCTTTTTTAGGAGTCTTCACGAAAACCCGACGTGCCAAATCCAAATCCCCGCACGACCCATAAAAATGAACGAGCGAATTAAGAATATAAATATCCGACCCAAGCGAGGCCTTTATTGCCATGCCATGAAAACCTCTTCCAACCTGCAAAGCCCGGAGCTCCGAAGCCGCTTTAATCGCAAAGGGGTAAGTATATTTATCGGGACATTCAGAACAGTGATCAAGCATTTCCAAAAATACGAGGATGCTTTCAGCCGGGTCGGAGCTAGACGCATAAGCGCGAATGAGGGTGTTCCAAGTGTAGACATTTGGTTGCGGAATTTGATCAAACACCTGGCGGGCATAGTCGAGACTCGAGAACGAGGAGAGAGCGCTGGCGGCGATAAGTTTGCTGGCGGAGTACGGGTCAAAGAGAACACCTGTACGGAGCATTTGGGCATGGACTTGCTTTAGCTGCTTTATGCTGGTGCATTGGTCTACTAGTGAAAGAGCTGGGTGGCTTGAGAAACGAAGGTCGGTACTGAAGGTTGGGGGCGAAGAGTTTGGGTGACGTGGCAGAGAGATTACTGGGGTGCTTAGAGAAGCCATCTCTTCTGTGGTCAGTCTCACACTAACCCCATTCAATTTAGGTTCCAAACCCCTTTATGTGATATGATCTATCATTATCACACCACAATCGCGTGCCACGTCACATATGATTTTCATTTTTTTTTTTTTATGTGTTTCACATATTTATAAAAAACAAAGAATAATTATAGAATGGGAGGGAATTTCATCATATGGATGTCTTTTGGTTTTGATCTTCCACTTATGTTCAAAAAAATGTCACTTGAGGTTTGAGGGTTAAGCACTTGGAGTTGAAAGTTCAATATTTAGATTTAACAGTCTAAAACGATATAGTTTTAAGCATAAGCGCAAGATTAATAAGAAAAAAAACTTTGATTTATCAAACGAAATAGTTTATTTTATTTTATCACATAGTGGGCGAAATCTAAATCACATTCATTAACTATTAGAAATCTTCTATACGACTCAACTTAACATAATTATCTAACAAATTTGCGGGTTTGACATCATTTCTTGCAAACCAAGATCAATATTTTACCATTTAACTACTTTAAAACACTAATAATACTAACTACTTTTGACTTCATTGGTTAATTTAATAGTAATACATATTATATATCATCACCTTTCTTTCATTCTTGTTCCGAACCTAAGCAGCAGGTGTGATTGTTTGTCTTCTTTTTAGTCGAAATCGTCATAGATTTGTCAAGTTATTTTATAGTGGAGGGCATCCCCCGTTACAACAAGAGTACGACACTAGTGATGTATTTATGCAATCACTCTTCTTTCTGTTTCATTTTAACCATTTTTTTTTTGGCTATGCTAATGCGAGATTAGACTAAAGAAATTGCCAAGTTCTTAACAGGTCATGTTTTCCCATCCAATACTAATCTTAGGACGTCACAATTGAGTTGAGTAAAAGTGGTGAAGCTTTGAACAAATGAACAATGGATAAGAACAACAAATATTAATGTCTAATTAGTTTTGTATTACCTTTGCTCAAGAAGATAACAACTACACATATTATATGTATAGACATACGTTGTCTAATTATATTTCATTCATTAATCATCAATCTCAATCATTGATTAAGTAAATATATAATAAAAGTTGATGTGCAAAGAAAGGAGAGAGAGAGAGAGAGAGAGATCAGTTGAGATGGAGGAAGTAAGACTAGTGTTCATCCCAGCACCAGGTTCCGGCCACCTTGTATCAACCCTGCAATTTGCAAAGCGACTCATCGATCGAGAGGAAAGAATTTCAATCACCATTCTTGCAATCCAATCAGCCTTTCCTACCACCTTAAGTTCTTATGCAAAATCTGTTGCAGCCTCAGAGCCCAAAATCCAACTCCTTGATGTCCCAAAACCTCAACCAGAGCACCCACCTGCACAAGACTCATTCAAGTCACCAGCAAAATCGTTCTCTCTTTACATTGAAAGCCACCTACCCAATGTCAAGAAAATCGTCACCAGCCTCGTCTCATCATCCCATGCTAGCAAGAGTTTGGATTCAATTCGAGTTGCTGGGCTGGTGGTTGATTTCTTCTGTGTGTCCATGGTTGATGTGGCCAAGGAACTCCATCTTCCTACGTATCTTTTCATGACAAGCAGTGCAGGATATCTAGCTCTCATGCTCCACCTTCCGATCCGGCATAAACATAACGAAGTTGAGCCAAAAGACTCCGATCCAGAATGGTTAATTCCAGGTATGTTGTAACAAAAAAGAAAATAATGAGGACATTGATTATTGCCCTTGAAGCTATCTTTTGGATTTTATTTCAAATACTTATTATATTTTGCAAATTTCTACAACAAGGTATTGTCCATCCAGTGCCTCCTAGAGTTCTGCCTGTGGCTTTGACAGATGGTAGTTACTCTGCTTATGTTAAGGTGGCTTCGAGATTTCGAGAGGCTAGAGGCATTATAGCAAACACATTTGTTGAGTTAGAGACATATGCTATCAACTCATTTTTCCATGACGGCCAAACCCCTCCGGTGTACCCAGTTGGACCGGTGATCGATCTCGAGGACTGTCAGGCTCATTCCAATCTAGAGCAGGCACAGCGTGACAAGATCATCAGATGGCTTGATGATCAGCCTCAGTCCTCTGTTGTGTTTTTATGTTTTGGCAGCATGGGGAGCTTTGGCGCTGAGCAAGTGAAAGAGATAGCTGTTGGGCTTGAGCATAGCGGGCAGAGGTTCTTGTGGGCTCTGCGCATGCCACCACCCAAAGGCAAAGGCATGATGCCAATCGATTGCCCAAATCTTGAGGAGGTTTTGCCAGATGGGTTCTTAGAGAGGACCAATGGGAAGGGACTTATCTGCGGGTGGGCCCCGCAGGTGGAAGTCTTGGCCCACAAGGCAACCGGTGGGTTTGTTTCTCATTGTGGATGGAATTCAATCTTGGAGAGCTTGTGGCATGGGGTGCCTATTGTGACATGGCCTATGTATGCAGAGCAGCAGCTGAATGCTTTTAGAATGGTGAAGGAGTTGGGATTGGCATTGGAGATGAGGCTGGATTATAAGAAAGGTGGTGGTGAGGTTGTGAGGGCAGATGAGATTGAGAGAGCTGTGGTTGCTGTCATGGACAAGGAGAGTGAGGTGAGGAAGAAAGTGAAAGAGATGGGAGAGATGACCAGAAAAGCTGTGAAGGATGGTGGGTCTTCCTTTGCTTCTGTTGGAAGATTTATTGAGGATGTGATTGGGAACAATTGTGGTTCCAATTGATTGGAACAACTTTCAAAGTAGTAATTATCATGTTGTTGGATCTTTGTTTAGGATATTTGTATCAACTATTGTTATGTTTTCAATATACAACTTTTGCAAAGTATGCTACAGCAATCATGAGTACAATCACAATGTTTGTTTTTTCTGTTAACTAAGCATGGAAAGAGTGCAGATTAAGGATAATTGAGAAACACGCATATGAAAAAGGGATTTCGATCCTCCAATTTAAAACCTAAATACTCCACAACAAAGGTTTTCTTTTTTCTTTTTTGAGAACCAACAATGGTCGTTATGAACTCATAAAATCTACACCAAAGAATATTTTAAATGTATAGCCCCGCGACAATCTCTTTAAATATTTGTATATATTTTAAGAGTATTGCCGCACGGCTATACGTTTAGAAGATATATTAATAGTTTAAACGTAGAGTATAGTTGCACTGCTATACTCTATAAATAGAAATTTTAAACCTATGGCCGTCCGGCTATACTATTTTAGAGGTATAGCCGAACGGCTATACGCATTAAATACAAAAAGTGAATAGTATAGCCGAACGGCTGTATGCTTTAAAAACAATAACTTAAATGTATAGCCGCACGGCTGTACTATATAAATAGAAATTTTTAACGTATAGCCGATCGGCTATACTCTATAAATGGAAATTATTAACGTATAGCAGCGCGGCTATATTCTATAAATAGAAATTATAAAAGTACAGCCGCACGGCTATAATATATAAATAGAAATTTTTGACAGTATAGGCGCGCGGCTGCTCTTGAAATGTATATATGAATATTTAAAGAGTACCTTTAGAAGGCTATATTGCACAAAATGGTTTTCCTTTTTGTAATTAAGTAATATCTTGGTTTTTTTAATTAATTAATTTAGTAATTATGTTTTAATTATTATGTATTTATTGAATAATTAGTATTTAAATATTTTACTAATTTCATCAATTACTTAATAAAAGTAATTAATTATTTTAAATTATTTTGTGGACTTTGTTTTTTATTTTTTTAATACAAAATTAGTTTGTTTAGTTTAATATTTGTAATTAAGTAATATCTCAGCCTTATTTAATTATATTAATTATTTTTTATTTTTAAAAACAGATATTTTCTTTCTAAAAAATAATAATAATAAGATGGTAAGAAAGTTGAGAATTTTTTTTGGATAAATTGAATACATGTAATAAGGGTAAATTTGGAAAGCAAAAGTTAGCTTGTATAATATATTAATGGCATTGTTTTAAGTGTAGAGAGAATGACACATGTCAAGCAAAGAGGGGAGAAGGTCCAAAGGAGAAGGTTAGAGAGAAAATTGCTAGCATTCCCCTTTTTATATTTCTTCTCTGTACCTGTTGCTTCTTGGGGCTTAGGGGCTCCGATTTCTTGCACTCGAGTTCGAATCCCCTTTTTCATAGATTTAAAATACATCAAATTAAAATGATCCTAAAATAAACATTTTACAAATACAGTATTTGACAAATTATAAGTTTTTTCAACGTGGATACTTTGAGATGATCAAGTTCCTATTCATTTTGTATCCAAGTCCAATTAGTTGTTTTGACAAAAAACTTCTAATCAGAAGTAGATAGTCAACCATTAGAATTCTTAAATTTCTAAATGGGACTTGTTTGGCACACATTGAACTCAATTCAACCACAATCTGTAATCTCATAACTCTCTTAATAAAAAAGAAAACAACAACTCTTATTATACTTCGAAAGCATAAAATAGATAATAGAATTCCAAATCAAAGATCCAACAACATGACAATTACTACTTTGAAAGTTGTTCCAATCAACTGGAACCACAATTGTTCCCAATCACATCCTCAATAAATCTTCCCACAGAAGCAAAAGAAGATCCACCATCCTTTACAGCTTTTCTGGTCATCTCTCCCATCTCTTTCACTTTCTTCCTCACCTCACTATCCATGTCCATGACAGCAACCACAGCTCTCTCAATCTCATCTGCCCCCACCACCTCCCCACTACCTTTCTTGTAGTCCAGCCTCATCTCTATTGCCAATCCCAACTCCTTCACCATTCTAAAAGCATTTAGCTGTTGCTCCGCATACATGGGCCATGTCACAATAGGCACCCCATGCCACAAGCTCTCCAAGATTGAATTCCACCCACAATGAGAAACAAACCCACCAATTGCCTCGTGGGCCAAGACTTCCACCTGCGGGGCCCACCCGCAGATAAGTCCCTTACCCTGGGTCCTCTCCAAAAATCCATCTGGCAAAACCTCCTCAAGGTTTGAGAAATCGCTTGGCATCATGCCTTTGCCTTTGGGTGGTGGCATGCGCAGAGCCCACAAGAACCTCTGCCCACTATGCTCAAGCCCAGCAGCTATCTCTTTCACTTGCTCTGCCTCAAAGCTCCCCATGCTTCCAAAACACAGAAACACAACAGAGGACTGAGGCTGGTCATCAAGCCATGTGATGATCCTGTCACGCTGTGCCTGCTCTAGGTTGGAATGAGCCTGACCGTCGTCTAGATCGATCACCGGGCCAACTGGGTACAGCGGAGGGGTTTGATCATCATCGGAAAATGAGTTGATAGCATGCGTCTCTAACTCAAGAAATGTGTTTACTATAATGCCTTTGGTCTCTCTAAACCTTGAAGCAAGCTTAACATAAGCAGAGTAGCTACCGTCTGTCAAAGCCACAGGAAGAACTCTAGGAGGAACAGGAATTTCAATACCTTTGATTAACCATTCAGGATCTGAGTCTTTAGGCACTTCACCATTTTGCTCATGATAGGCTGGAAGATGGAGCATGAAAGAAAGATATCCTGTATTGCTTGGCATGAAAAGGTAAGAAGGAAGATGGAGTTCCTTGGCCACATCAATCATGGATGCACAGAAGAAATCAACCACTATCCCAGCAACACGAACAGAGTCTGATTTGGCGTGCGATGAGACAATTTCTGTGATTATGTTTCTGATATTGGGCAGGTGGGTTTCAATGTAAAGAGAGAAAATTTTTGCTGGTGATTTGAATGACTCGATTGAAGGTGGTTTTTCTGGAGGTTGAGGGACATCAATTAGTTGGATTCTGGGTTCTGAGGCTACAAGGGAGTTTGTGTATGAACTTAAAGAGGAAGGGAAGGGTGATGGGATAGAAAGAATGGTGATCGAAATCGTATCATTTCGACCGATCAGATTCTTTGCGAATTGCAAGGTTGATACAAGGTGGCCAGAACCTGGTACTGGGATGAACACTATTTCTACTTTCTTCATCTCAACTGATTTTTTCACTCCGTCTCTTCTATCTCATTCCACTTTGTCTCTCTACTTGGCAGAATTGACATATATATATATATATATATATATATATATAGAGAGACTTTCTTGCTAGACAATTAGATGTTATGTTATTAAATTGTCAATTTTTTTTCTATTGTATTTAAAAAAGAACATAACTCACTTGATCAATGATTCAGATTCACCACATAAAAAAAATTCAAATTAACAAATCCAACTACATAACATGCCAAATTATTTCACAAGGATACATGGCCATATGGGTCTTTTATCAAATAATCTAGACCACATATATGCGTGAATCCATGATATGTACTCCTTTGACCATTGCATGCATACCCTTCAAGGAAGAAAATATTAAACAAATTAAACCTTTCTTCTTGTTCCAAGAGAAATAGTGATGCATGCTCTTCAGCTTCACAAATTTGAAAGCTCACCTCTTTTGACGACCTCAGTCAGTGTGCCGTGCTAAGAAATGTATTTAATGGAGAAATAACGGACAATGTATTGTTAACTTAGAAATAAATGGTTCAAGCTAGTACAATTACAAGTAGATCCCTGCTGCCGTACTCCATGACATTACATTTTACACCTACGTCACTGCTGCCGTAATCCACGTCAAGCTCATTTTGCAGAAGATTAATTGTGGGGGCATGCTCCCCTAATATAATAGCCATTGTGCATACGCATCACATGCATGTAATTATTGTAAAAGACAGGAAAGCGGCAACTAACGCAAACCCATGTAGAAGACCAACTTTTTCATTTCTGTCTGCATCGGGGAAGAAAGAAGGAAAGGTTTGACGTAGTCACATAGGTAATCAAGAACTTAAATTAAAATGACAATTAACCTAAATTACTATCATTAACGTTGCTAAGATCTGATTACTATAATGTAAAAGATAGATTGCAAGATGTCCAGAAAAAATTTGTATTGACTGAATCACCATGATCATCTCTATATTGTCAAAGCAGTTGTCTAACTTAATGAAAGAAGATGGACCTTCTACACCAGGGTTCCTGGCCAGGTCTTCCATCTCTTTCACCTTCTTCCTCACCTCACCTCACCATCACCATCACCACCCACAACACATCTCACTATCTCAATCGTGTTGGCACGCACAAGATCTCTATCACATTCCTACTCCACTTTTATATTCGCTGCTGCTAATCCTAAATGCATTGGGCAGTTATTCTTCATATGTAGGCCAAGCTCTCAATTTCTCCATTTCAGTCAGATATATAAACCCTCCAACAGTGTGGCTACGGCCTCCACCTCCGCAGCCAATCCACAGAAGACCCCCCGTCCTCCCCTCAATCTGTTCTAAGTATCCTACCTGCAACATGTCTGAGGGACGGACGCATTAGTTGTGTGTGGAACTCCCAAAAGCCTGTTAGAGGCGAGCGCATTGTGCTCGTCTTACAGGAGAGTGAGACTTGAGGTGAAGCACTGACCCATCTATGTAGACTTTGAGGTGTAATAAGTTACAAGCATGTGGCTCTAACTCGAGAAATGCATACATCATACATGGCTTGAAAAATTAAGGAGCCATCTTTTAACATTTCAATACACAATTGAGGGAAGTCAACAATCTGCCTCAACTCTGCTGCAACTAAAACTCAACTGTAATGAATTTCAAATCTTAATTTACACATTTGTAGCAAAGTACCTTGTTTTGAATTTCAATGTTGAGACTTCTTCGATGTTTTGTTGGTAATCACAGATAGTATTGAAATTTCTTCTTCTCAGGTTTGGACTAAATCGACAACACATTCTTGGGGTATATGGGATACATTATGCTTGAATAGACTCGACTCTATATTAACAAACAATCTCTTTACCTTTGGATGTGTGAATTTAAGATGAGGATTTAAATTTTCATTTTGGCAATGATTTGAAATTGATCACAGTTGAATTCACCACCACTATCAGATATTAATACTTCTAAAAGCTAGCTTAATAACTTATATCAAAGCATCCAAATCCAAATCTCTTCTCCTAAATTCACTAATCCAAACCCAACAAGAGTGAATTCTATCCATGACACTAGATGGTGGCAAGCATAATGAGAATATTTGGCTAAACCATCCGACCAAGATTTAGTGATATAACCTCAAGAGGTGCACACAGCCATAGAAAACTACTCAAAGAAGTTGTCCATTTTCAAACATGATCACAATATGAGGTTGACTCAACTCCAAGACATCAATGATCCGCCGACTAAAGCGTAGAAATTCGAAAACCAAACCCGCAATTATACACAGTCCAGTTGAATGCAAATACTACAAGCACCAAGCACTCTTCTGAGAAATTAGCTGTATTCCATTTGCCAACCTCAACTAGCTAGCAGAACCAAATCACAACTTTCACAAATTACACTATCAAGTTCGATCTTTTTTTTCAAATTACCTAAAAGAAATCACAAAACTCACCCAAATTGATCTCAATTACACAAAATATGTACAAACAAGCAACAGATAAACAAAATTCAGCCTGAATTGTCCATTGATAAGAAGAAGAACCAGAAAAGCTCCAAACTTCAACAATTAAGAGAAACATTGCATCAAACAAACTATTTCCTTTTCAAGTAGAAAAAGAACAAAGAAAAATAATTATACTGCGATGCTATTACTGTACCATGAAAATCGATTTTTCTGAAGACGATCACCCTCGGCGGCTATCGTAGTCGACAACCTCGGAATCCGCGAGCGATCTCGAGTGCTGGACTATGGACCGTCCGATGGAGTTGATCCACTCCTCCTTCTCCTTCTCCGAGTCGGCGATGAAGTACATGGTGTCGTGGGTGTTGGTGGAGAGCTCGAAGGCGCAAGGCTTGTGGACCACGTCCTCGGCGCCCTTCACCGTCAGGCACGTGCCCACCGGGATCACGCCGCGCGGTGTCGACGTGCGGGTAACGTGACCATCCTTGAACCAGAACAGCTTTCCCTGTTTCAAGACGAACCAGCGGCGCCGCCAGGTCTTGATGTACTCGCCTTGCTTGGTCAGCCACGTGGCGCGTTCCGGGTTGGACCAGAACTCTATCCCGGTGTAGTCTTCTGGGCTCGGGTCTTGGCCCGTCGCGGCCCGCCAAAGCCCCTCCATTTTTGGTTGAGCTGCTGCTGCAGGTGAGCTGTGCTGTCTGCAGAGCCGGGGTTTTGAAGACAGAAAGATAGATAGAGAGAGAGCAGATAGAGAGATGGGCTTTGTTTCGGTTTTGGCTTGGATTCGGAAACAGAATCAGTTCCCTTGTCTAATTTCGCAACCGGAGAGATTTGCCAGCTTGTGGAGATGCGACACGACATCGTTTTGTTCGCAATTCAGATATTTCACACAAACAAAACGACTTTTTTGTTGTGTGAGTTGTTGTGTTCAAAACTTATCATAAAAAATAAAAATAAATAAAAAAGCTTAAAATCGGAACACTTCTAGTCTTTATTATTAACGAAGAAGGAATTCGAACTAAACGAACTACTAAATGTCAATGGGGGAATAGAATTCGAATGTCGAATCTTTTCACAGGAAACGACAATTTTGAAAAGAAAAGTACCACTAGACCAAGAACTGAAGAGTCGACATAAAGTGAGGGTGTGTCCATAAATTGTGGCTAGCTGTCCTGGTAGATCAGAGAGGTTAAGCTTGTCAATAAACTTCTAATTCACGGGTAATCGGCCACACCATGCCCAAAACAGATTAAAAAGAGAATCTACATATTAGAACCTTTTGTTGGCCGGCAAACATGATTTCTTTTGCGAGCATGTTCTTCATTATGGTGCTGTGTTCGACATGCATATCCGTACCAGCAATTTTCCCTGTTTGATGCCTCCGGAGGTAGATGATTTTTGGGAATCGAAATCCGAAACCAGTACAAGAGGAATGAGATCAATTTCTCATAACAATTGTTGCACGTAGGTGTCCCAGAAGTTATCATCTCAGCATGATTCAATGGCATCCTTGTCCGGTCAATTTCTCTGTTGTTCAACTTTGCAATCCATTCTGCTATAACATCCTGCAATGTTCTCCCCAACTGTGCAATACACTTCTCAGTGATAACTTGTTCGTGTCGATTGTTTTCGTGTGCCGAAGTAGGAATTCTAGAGATGGTGTTTTCTGAGATTGGTTTAAAAGTCTCCCGGCTGCACATGCGATGAGAATCACTATGTCCAACCCTTTGTGCATTCCAATATGCACCACAAAATGCCTTATCACATCCTAAACAGTGTTGAGGTACACTGATATTGGTTCGCGAAGGCATCATTCCTCCGCATCCTTGACATTGCAGATGAATAGTGTTTTGATTGCAGCGAAACCCACCAAATTCAGTACCACATTGAGGGCATGGAAGTGGTGAATCATCAACTGCCCCATTCACTTCCGAGCGAGCCCTTTTCCCACGGAGGCTTTTTCCAGAGCTTACGACAAGATTTGATCGTATTGTTGCATAGGAATTTAAAATTGCCACTTCTTCATCGGAGCGTTTTAGTGAAGAATCCGCTTTTAGTATTTCCTCCGCAATGTTAAGCAGGAAATGATTTCTTCCGACAAATTGGACAACTGCTCGACATTGGGGACAGAGTACACTTGAGCGTTTCTCCTGTGATCTCCTTAACCACTCTGAAAAGCATCCATTGCAGAAGTTATGGAAGCAAGGAGAAACGGTAACAACTTCATGCCATATATTTAGACAAATGCAGCATTTTGCATGCTCAACATCCATAGAAATCTTTAACTGCTTCTGACAAGTTTCAGGACCAGGCAATACATTGAACCTGTAGCTTAAGTACCCTTCCTTATCAGGACCTGAAGTAATTTCACTTCCACATCTGATAACAACAGTGTCTTCAGCTTGGATTACGGTCCCATCAACGAATATTGCATTTGAACTTTTATTTTGTATGGTGGCAGAAGAACGGTCTGAGCTCCTTGTTATTTTGCACCACTTCCATTTGTCAGTAGAAGAGAACAAGATCTCTGAGCAAATTACAATCTCGTCTGAGCTAATCTCAACATCTGGATATCTCGAGTCTGATGGAACAAGCTTGGCCCAGATTTCGCAAGAAGGTTTTGCACCTGAGCTTTCTCCAACTTCCGCCATCCCTTGCCTATATTACAAAGGAACCCGGAAACCTTTAACTTAAACCTCAGAGATAAGCAACCAACCATTGTTGTTTTCATTAAACAAGTCCAAAATAATTATATCTGTTCAACTATTTAATAGCCACAGAGAAAAACTTCATTAAATATTTAATCAACCAACAAATTCTTACCAATCATAAAACTCTCCACATCCAAACACAAACTTAAAACAAGCCAGTTTGGAACTCAAAAAACCTTCTTTCAGTGAATGCAAATAATCAACTCCAAAAATATGCTTAAGTATCCAGCCACACCAACCAAACATTTCAACACCAATAAACAGACCAACTTCAACATTCAGAAATCTTACAACCACATAAATTGAAGCATAACAGTTCCAATTAACCATAAAAGCTCTTAACTCAGAACATTTCCACATGCAAGAAAATTTCATGGAAGACAGTACGTGTCAATTAACAAGAGAGTAAAAAAGGATTGAGAGAAGGGGTCTCCAGCAATGGCAGCAGTTCTGGCTGGAAATGTTTCATTCTACGATTCATATATAGAACACATACAAACTGATTTTAGGGTTTTGTAATTTGTGAACGGGTGGAGCCAGAATTGTCATTCTAAGAAAGCCACTTTCTCAATTTTGAATTAATACCTGGATTCCAAGATTGTTAAACCACAGAAATTGTATGTGCTGATTTCCCCCAAAATTTTCAATTCATCAAAGATCCAAACATTCATATCTAGAACCACATGTACATGTGTATCATATTTTCTCTATGGTCTTAGTTTTGAACCTTCTCCCTCAAGATGACATCACTGTTGTTTTTGCTTTCTTGCATGCCCTAATCTCCACAGGATTTTACATATAGGATATTGAAGTATCTATTAGGTTATGAAGAACTGAAAGGTTTCACTAAGGAAAATTGTAAATAAATAAAAAACCAAAATTTAACCCCTGATAATAAAAAAAGAAAAAAAGTTTGCAACTTTAGCCAAAGTTTCATACTTGAACCCATCCAAGTATTTGAACCACTTCAAGCAGTACTAAAACCTATGTCTAGAGAATATTACCAGATTTTTCTATCCATAAAACCGCAATAAAATTCCAGCCATTACAAGAAATTAGAAATGAGATTATGAACCCACGCAAAAAGCAAAACAAGAAACCAAAAAGATCTGAAGAAAGCAATACCCGTGGGAACAAAACAAGGCTGAAAGGTCAGAAGGGTAATAGTGGAATGAGTGAAACCGCCAGAGACAGAGCCCCAAGAACTGATTTAAAGAAGAAGAAGAGAACTCCGTCAACAAAAGTAGAGTGCCGAAGAAGGCTCTGTAACCAAAAAAGACAGAGAGAACTGAAGAAGAGCAAACACTAAGTATTGGGCTTGTCAAGACTGGGCCCGCTATTGTGTTCTTGTAGTGGGTTCGCTAAAAGTTTTGATCTTGACAACATAAACAAGTTTGTTTCGACCCAAAATAAAACATAACAAGTTATGCCTCGTTTGATAACACAATTTCAATTTTATTTTTATTTTTATTTTTTGTGCTAGAGTATGAGGAAAATTAGAGTGAGAATGGGAGTTAGGATGAGAAGGGAGGATGAGCGGAATAAGTAAAAAAAGTGAAAACAATTTCAAATAAATTTCAGTTTTTAGTTTTTGTTTTACTTTTGTTACTCCTCCCTCTCATCTCTCAATCTCATTTTCACTCCCATTCTCACTGCCACTCTCCATCTTTTTCCTCTACACTGTTAGCACAAACAATAAAAACTAAAAACTAAAATTGAAATGATTATCAAATGATCCTTAACCAGCTTTGCACCAAGTTTTTGCTCATCGCACTATATTTCATATTTATTTATTTCTTTACTTATTTTTGTGGTTGGTGTAGTTGTCAACGTAGCTGCCAATTTTTTTGGGTGAAAATTAACTTAAACTAATCAATTTTTCTCTGTGCAGGACAGGCCATGTATTATTTGAGGGGTCGGGCAATCTCTCTCGAATCTCGACTGACGGCGACTTCTCATGATATTCTTACTAGTTTTGATTATTTTGTGACAGATTGTTGATTTAAGGTATAGTTCAAAACTCGAGAATTAAAACCTAAAGTCTAATTAATTAATGTGTCGGATGATTGACACCAAAAAAAATATTAAAATTACTTGTCACTAACTTTTAGTAGTGTAAAAACTCTTTTATGTTCTCCAGTGAACCTAAAATTTATCTACATTAACCACCAAGAGTGGTCCAGTGGTTTGTCCGTCATTTGGGTAAGGCTCTGGGGTTCAGTTGGATTTGCTTCCTAGTTTGAATCCCAACAGTTGCAACACCTGGTGGCCGGTAGTAGGCTCAGTTCCGCGAGTGGGGATTAGTCAAGGCGCGCGCAAGCTGGACCGGACACCTCATGGTAATTACCAACAACAACAACAAAAAAATTTATCTACATGTGGACCATGTCGTGTACGTTGAGGGCCAAGTGGTCTTGTCCATTTGTGAAAGGCAAAGTACAGAAGAAGAAGATAATGATGATGATGATGAGAACAAGCAAAGAAAAGATCACGATAAGGCTTCCTTCCTTTGACACGTATAGTTAGCTCACACGTTATTATCTACTCTCCATCCCTCAAACTGCAGGATTGTCCATCAAATTTATCATTATTAGCTTTCTCCTACCTCCAGTCTCTCCATTTTCAAGGTAACAAATTCATCTCTTTCAGCTCCTTTGATGTTTCAGTTCATATGTTGCTGCTTGCTGCTGATTGTCTGTGGTCTTTGCTCTCTCTCTCTCTCTCTCTCTCTCTCTCTCTCTCTCTGACTGTTTTGGTTCTATATACATATGTTTCTACTTTGTTTTCAACTTAAAAACATGTGGAAGAAAGAGGGGTTTGTATTGTTTTGAGCTTCTGATATTTTACAGACTTCAAATTATAGATCAATACTTGCTCTTTTTTACACTTTCTGTGGATCATCTAGTTTTTGGCCTTTTCATTTATGAAACTTAACTAGAAGGATATGTCCATGTATAGTAGTATAGCTTGTTCAATTGTGCATAAGTTGCCGCTAATCAATGAAGTTTTTTATCATCAAACAGGTCGCGTTTTTCGGAGAAAAATTGTATTAGTTTACATGCATAAGTAGTTGGAAGATCAGGGTCAAACTCTCCTACCTGAGACTGCAGCTATGGCTACCACCAAGATATACGTGGTG